GTTTTAATTGGCCATTGAAAAAATGGTTTTCGAACTGGTTTTTTTTTTTTTTTTTGAGTTTTCCATTCGACACTGGTTGATATTTGTCCAGCTATGACCTCTCTCAAAGAGCAATTCAATACAAACTGCTCACAAAAGAGTTCCTTTCATGACTAGATTAACCATTCAAGCGTCAACTATAGTCTGCACGATAATTTTTTATTGTCTAAGATTTTAATCAATTGCACGTTTATTATTTACAACTTTTGAATCATGGAATATTAAAACGTTTTGATTTTTAATATCCTGCAACACTTAAGAGACTAATAACCAATTAATTAAAAATGTATAGCGTGGAATGGCGTTACTTTCGTTTTTTTTTTTTTTAATATCATTAATATTATTAGCTAGAGTTCATTAGTGGATGAACAGCTACCGATGTCCCGGAACAGCTGACACTGTTGTCTATGTAATCTTGGAAATTGCTCTCGATCACCCACATCAAATCACTATAGCCAGGAATAACTTCTGTTGGCAGGCGACAATCACCAGCTTTTTGGACTAATAAAAAGTTGTCTTGCACAAAAGGTGTGTCGGTATTCCACATGTAAATACTCGAATCACCTGAAAAGAATAAAAATATAATATCTCGCTTGTTTTCATAGTAGTTATATATTATACACATATCATAAACAGATGACTAGAATAGAAATAATTAGATACGTGTAATTATCTGGTTGATCGAAATATAGATATAAATTTTGCCAAAAACATATGATTAATATTTTATAGTAATATTAGAAAAATAATTAGATTGTTTCCATTCAAATGAAAATAAATATAAATTTTACAATTGCACTGTTTTTAATTATCAAAATTTGTAAATCTTGTAAATTTTTTAACATAAAATTTAAAACCAAAAGCATGATTCAAAATTACGTATATCGACCAAATATTCTCTTTCTAATTTAAATAATTTATTCATATTACAAAATTTTATGATTACTCGAAAGTAATGTACAGAAAATATGATTGAATCGCGATTATATATTTCGTATAAATTTTAAAATTTCCTCACCTTTGATCCTGAAGAAAATAGTGGCTGCGTTGTCGGTGCCTAGAAGCACGATCTTATTTTTCTTTCCACCGATGTCCACTATGGATCCATTCGCGTTTCCGGATCTCAGATTCACCGCCTTGATCGCGAACATTCTGTTGGATCCGAGGAAGGTGAAGTAGAGGACTGGGCCACAGCTCTCCCTCCTGACCAATGCTATGTAGAGAGCGTCAGGTTTGTCCGTGCATCCTGCCACGGCTGCAGGAAGCACCACACGATATCCAGTGTCGGTGGTCACGTTGTAAACAATGATGGCGCCTGTACCAGCATCAGATATGTACACATACACCTGGCCGTCCTCCGCGTAATCGACGGCCATATATTGGAGACGAGAATTTATATCCGCCAAGGAGCTCAAATCGATCACTTTTACAACCTGCAATTAAAAATTGATACATTTATTAAATTTCTCTTTTGATTCTTATTGGATCATTTTTATAAATTAAATGGAAAATTAATTTATTTATTAAGTCTCTATTTTGACTTTTATTGGATTTTTATAAATTGGAATGAAAAATTAATTTATTTATTAATTAATTTATTTATTAATCTTTTGATATTTATTGAGGTTATGTCGATGTGAAATAAAGAATTAATTTATTTATTGAAATATCTTATCTGAAATAAAATATGGCCGATTTATAAATCAATTTTGATCTATATTTAAATATTGATATTTGAATATTTATGTCATCAGAAACATGGGTCAATAGTGGCTTGTGGTTTGATTAGATGAGAGTTAGTAAAATTGTGAATTATTAATATTATTGAGACCATTTGTAAAGATATAAGATTTAAAAATTAAGAAAACTCTAGAGCTCAATGGTAAGTCACAGTTCCAACAAAAAATGTTCATTACAATATTTAAATTTCACCATTAATTCTATTTACTTTTCATATCATATTCTATGATCATTTATTTAATTTTATTTAATTGATCAATAAACACCAACTTAAAAAATTCCTTTCAACTAATCATATTTTAAAATAGCATGTTGTACATCTAATTACAAAAAAGAAGTATAAAAAAAAAATTATATAATATATATTAATATATTTACACTTTAAAAATATCAGGACAAAATCGAGTGAACGACAAAACAAGTTTGAAAGCATTAATCCACTTTAAGGCCAATTCCACACTAATCGAAGTTTACCTTTCCTGTTTTAGCGTTGACTCCAACGACCTTAGGCGGACATCTGCGCACAGGTTGCTCGAGAGTGTTTACGATTCCAACGTCGAGAATCCACAAGATATCTTGCACGTCCAAAACAATATCAACAGCGCTCTGTAACGCCTGGCAATTGCCTTCCTCCTGGATGGCCCAGCACGGGAACGGCGCCACCTTCGGTTCGCAATTGTTCTGCGATTTTAAGTCGAGGATGCCCAAAGTGAATGGCACACCGGGTTTGTAACGTGGCAGAGCCAAGATCGCTTTATCTTCGAATATCTGGGCCCTCGTGGCTATCACGTTCCTTGCTATGTAACGACCACTTGTCTCGTAAATGTTTTTTGTGCTCTGGCATGGCCAATCCAGGCTGAGTCCAGAGAAGATCAGTGGTTGTGGCAACACTGGCGTTCCGTCGCTCAACTGGAAGATCTTCGTTAGACTGGTTAGACTGAGGATGACGCATAAGAGCCTCTTCATCCTGCCGCTTCTTCTGGAAAATAGATTCCCTGACTGTAAATAACGGTAATGATAATTGTGTAATTAATAAAAATAAAGAATATTTTATAAAAAATTTTACGTGCAAATGATTGTGATTTTTTGTTATAGATTTTGAATTTTTATTGATATTTTAAAACGATTAATATAATAAGGGAATCAAGAACTGAAAAAATCACTTGAAAAAATTTTTCTTTATTGTAAATTACTAAAAGAAGAAAAATTTTAAAATTAATCAAATTTAGAAATTACTATTATTACAGAAGAGGAAATTTTTATTCATCGTTGAGGAGATCATGAATGGAGAAAAATAATTTTGTCGAGGAAAAATTAAAGACTTACACGATGATTATGATGCAAATGACACAGGCGTTCCAATATTCGAATCTTATATCTGACCGTATGCTTATATACAAAACGTGTCAGAAGAGTATCATCAATGACCGATAGTATGCATTATGAGGCAACATTTTTGCTCTTCCGGATGTCGCAATATTTCCGCCCGAGCGAGACGACGAATTGCTTCTCCAAGAGCAACAAGGAAGTGTACACACTCGAAGTTTGTTTGTTAAATAATGAAAACTTGAATCGTGAGATGAGCTTTCTTTCTTCGTTCGATAATTTTATAAATAAATCGGAAAAAACATTGTTATATCGCGTAAAATTTACGTGACGAGTATATTTTGTCGAAAATTATATATTAAATTACACTATCATTTTACCAACAATTTAATTAACGATTCACCATTGTCAATGATCGTAATATAATGACTCTGAGGATAATTTTTAAACATTTTTCGCATTTTTTTTTTTCATCATTCTTCCGGGTCGAAGATAAGCAAAGCAACAATGTTATTTCCTGCATTTCGCAACTGTTAGTGGATCATCGTACCTCTCGTATATAACTGGCGTAATATTAAAAGTTTCTTAGTTTAGTCGCCATAAGTAACTATGTACATCAAAAGACACTTTGCGCCTGCGTTTACATTGACGGCCATCTTGACCGTTGTTCTAGAATTAATTAGTTGCGGAAACGCGACGTTGCCGGAAACTATAAAATGGACAGGCGGAAATTTTGAGTGGCCGTCCTCAACCACCAAGAATATGTACAAAAGTAACGGAAAATACATCTCGAAGAATGTGATCGCCACTAGGGTCGCGATGCATAATAACGAAGCCATCGTGGCTTTGCCGAGGTAAAACGAGTCATCGATTTAAATTTTTTTTTTAATTTTATCTTATATTTTGTTGAAGTCAAAAATTTGAAATCGCCAATACGTTTCGTAAATTAAAAAATTTTTTTTTTATAATGAAAAATTGATCAACGAATGAATTGAAAGTGAAATTGATATTGTTATCTTTAGATTTTATTAATTTTTAAATAACAACAATTGCTAATATATTTCACATAAATTCAAAAACTTGATTTCAAAAAGTTAGGTTAGAATTTTGTAACTACGAAAGATTTTTATATCGAGTATCTCTTGGTGTAAATGAAACACATATTATCTATAACATTGATCTTGAATTAATAACAAAGAGAAGCAAAAAAACTATAAAAAATTATTATTGAATATATAATGAAAAATTTAAAAATATATGTATATAAAAGAAAATTGCAGATTATTAATTTTTGTATCAATTAATATTTGTTGTATCAATTAACATTTGGCTCGACATGTTTATTAGATCTAATTGATTTCGAGCAAACTGGTTTTCAATGTAGGTTCAAGGCAGGTATTCCAGCGACATTGGCAAAACTTTCTAAGGAGGCGCAAAACTGTGAAGCCACTTTGATCCCTTATCCTTGCTGGTCCCTTCAGGAAGAAGGAACTTGCACAGCTCTACAAAACGTGGTAGATCTTTATCTGGATCCTCAAAATATTCTTTGGATCCTCGACACTGGAGTAGTGGACACTTTGGATGAACCTGTACGCAAATGTCCAGCAAAAGTTCTTGCTATCGATGTTAATACAGAAAAGGTAAGATATCACTATAATTTGTAAAATCAATATCACCAAAAGTAAAAAAAAAATCACTTTTAAAAAATGCACAAAATAGATTTTTAAATAATAGCAGAAAGTGAAAGGAGAAAAAAAACAGCCATCTTTATTAGTGATGTGTTTTAATTATTAACTGTAATCTACTTTATGATAATTTATCATTATTTAGTATGTTAATGAAATTCCTTTTTTATTTTCTGTTTCAATCCACGAGAAATTAATCTTATTGACTTTATATAACATTTTAATTTAAGTTCAATTATTAAAAATAAAATAATTTATCATTATTTGTCATCATTTGGCGTGATATGAAATTATCCTCTTTTATTTACTATTATTTACTCTTGTTCAATCTCATGAAACTAATTTTAAATTCATGATATAGTATTGATGTAATGCACTCTAGAGGCATGTTCAGTTACTAGCATGTTTCATAGCAGTTTGTAACATGATTTTAGTATACTATTATGGTTTGATTTTTCTTTTACGTCTTCTATTTGAACCTTGTGGAATTAAATACCATTTTTTTAAAAAGAATTATGATAGAGGCACGTTTATGATTTATAGATGTTTATAGCGTAGTTTATCGTCATTTGTATTGGCATACTGATGTGAAATTTTTCCTTTTTAATTTCAATCCTGCAGAATCACACATAATTTTCTAAAATACATTTTTTAAAGTAAAAAGTAAGAATATAAATAATAACAATAATAAGTGAAAATCATTGATTTATTGGACATGTTTTAATTTTTTATTAATAAATATTAAAATTAAAAATAGATATCTCATATTGCAAGCATTGTAATATATCAAAAGCTGAGCGTGATTGTAAAATAATGGCTACCGTTTCACAATTCTACGAGGAATTGTTCTTTTTATCCTTTCACCTGACACGCACGAGATATTTTTATCTTTGCCAATCAAACGAAATTGAATTATTGTCTGTATTAGTAGTTATAAAAATTCTCTAATGTAATATTATTATTACTAAGATCGATGAAATAATATACAGCTTTAGATTCTTAAAAATGAGAATAAATTAAATACATGAAATAAAGATCATGGCATTAATGAGGTCGAAATATTGTCACGATCTTCATATGTTGTATCCTTTCAACAATACTATGTTTTAAATGGAATTAATGGATTCTATGCTTACATTTCAATCAAAGTATTCAATTGAGATTACTGCTTGATTAGCTGTGTGATCACGTTTCACATTCTTAAGTATTATGTAATACAACATAGGGCTGACATTAAATATTTTCAATTTACGAATGTCTAAAATTGATTGAAAATTTTTTTCTCTTTTTCAAATATTATAATTGCAATATATATTAATTTTTATAATTTTTATAAATTTCTTAAAAATTATTTGATTTTTATATAAATATAATTCTAGAAATTTAGTGTTCCCTAGAATCGTTTTTTAGTGCTCCCTAGAATATATTTCGTTATATCGAAAATTTTAAAAATTCCCATTTTTAGATGATAAAATTGAGATAATATTTTACAATTCAAATCTAAATTATATTTTTAATTGAAATTAATTTTAAGGAAAATTTCATTAAGAATATAACACTTCTTTTCTTTTCCAAATTGGAATATTTTATTATTAACATAATTAATTGCAATAATGTATTTAAAATGTATTTAAAAATTTGTTGATCATATTATAAATTTCTTTAGAATCATTTCTTAATGCTTTTATATTTTCCTATTTCACCAAACCAAACATTACATTTATAAAAAAAATTTAATTAAAATAAAATCTATCAACACTTCTTCATTTTAAATTAGAATATTCCACAATCATAATTATAACGTAAATTGAAAAACTTTTATGCCATTGAAAATTATATACAAAATATTCCCCAAAACTATCTTTAACTTTAGTGCTCCCCAGAATTCTTCACGTAGAAATAACTTAATTAATCCTTTTCTTCTCTCTCTCTTTTTCGCAGCTTATAAAAACTGTGGAATTGACTGGTCTGACGTCCCCCACGTCCCGTTTGCAATACGTGGTATCCGACTACACCCAAGACGGAAGAGTATTCATCTACGTATCTGACGCGGCCTCGAGAGCCATCCTCGTCTACGATGTGACTTCTGGTCGTGGTTACAGAGTTGTTCTACCCCAAGCCGTGAGCATGGGCTGCACCAGAAGGGACGTTCTCTATCTGGCCCTTCTTCGACGTTCAGATGGCAGCACTTGTCTAATCTTCACTTACTTGAGTAGCAGCCGTATGTTCTCGATAAGGACGGAGCATCTTCGAAACGGATCCACGAGAGGAAAGATCCACGATCTCGGCATGAAACCGAGGAAGATGGTCGTTTTGGGCACGGACAACGGAAGCGCCCTCTTCTTCCGGTTCGAGGGCGAGGCGGACGTTTACAGATGGGACGCTGCGAGCAATCCTTTCGATCCAAAGTGTTTCAAGAAGGTGTACACGAGTGCAGAGTGCAACCTCGTCACTCACGTCGTTGCCGATTACGCGAGGGGGAGCATGAGAGTGCTCGAGTCGAATTTCCCTGATTACATGCAGGGCACGGTCGGTTGCGGTGCCACACAAGTTTTGAACGTTATGTGATTAGCTAGAATTAATGTTTTGGAATTGAATAAATTGATCAAAGTGAAATGAAAGGGATTTTTTTTCCTCGAAAGTAAAGAATTCTCGAGAATCAATTTGCAAGAATTGCAAGAATTTTTTGAAATCTTTGAATTCGTAGAATAAAATTCTCGAGAATTTTTTTTGTACGGATGATAGTGAAAATTATTTATCAGAAAGAGAAAATAAAGCGATAACGTTTCGAAACGTTGTATTTCAACTTCAAATGTTATCGTAAATAAAAAGAAATTATTTTTAAAGGAAAATATTAAAAAACGAATTGAGAAATATTCAATTTTATTTCTATATATTTCTTAACCTTATATAGGCTAATTTAACGATAAATATTATTGAAGAAATCGAATAATATCTACATCATTTAATGCACGTTAATTTTTTCAATAATTACTCGCAAAATATATTTTTATTTTTTATAATTCTAGTCGCAAAAGTGTAAAGATAAACGGCTACTTCTACGCCAATGCAGGGTCATAAATCAAGATGCAAATCATTTCGTGAGGTTGACCATGTGTATCCTGTACCTCGAATATACTTAATGCTGGGAAAAACAACAAAAACCTTTCTCTGTTACAATCTCTCTCGTTCGTTGCTTTGATCACGATTAGTCGACAAGAAACTGTTTCCTTTAAATAGACATAGACTATATACAGAGTGAACGAGGTAAATGAGATTAATTCTATATTATTCTATATTCTATATTATTCTCAAAAAGGTTGAAAATGAGAATTTGTCCAACGAGAATTGGAATTTAGGTCATGCTATTCGTAAATAAACTTTATAGCACGTGGAAGATAACGAGTTCATTTCAAGTTTTTATTTTGTTTACCTTTTTTTATTTCTTTTCCTTCTTGGAATACTTGGATAGTAATGCTAAATTGAAAGTATCTATTAGTCAATTGAAGGAAAGCAGTTATCTACTCAATAACAATAAAGTGAAATGATTATTTGCATTGAAGCAATATATAAAATATTTACTATTATATATTATTACAAAGAATATAATAAAAAATTTGTGATTTGTATTATTAACTATGTAGATCAAATTTGTAATTTGTATCAATGGTTATATATATATTAATTGTATTTACATGATATTTGTACACAGTATATCAATATAAAGAAAAAAAATAAATATATTCATTTTTGCAAAGATCAAATGAATTTTAGAACAAATACAAAAATCGATATGCAAAAATGTTGATTGATATTTATTTATTAAATTATAAACAATTCGAGTTATCTTCATCTCGCTTCAACTAACACTTATTTAAACTACTATAATTTAATAAATAAGTCTCAATCGAAAAATTTTTGTATAACAATTTTTTTACATGTTTTGATCTCTAAATTCTTCAATGAATTAATACATTATATATTGATCTATGAAAAATTATAAATAATCACTCGAAAAATTAAAAAATTAATGTAATTCGAAAGAGAATAATAAACTTACTTTTGAAAAATACAATTTAAGTTCAGGAAATGACGTAATATTAATTAATTGATGTTGGATAGATAAAAAAAAAGTCACGGAGAAATTAAATTCCTTTTAAGTAATTTTTGTACTCTTAAATTAATTCTATATTTGGTATTCTCGATTTGTTCAAATAAGGTAATCCTTCGTGACAAAAATGGTGGAAAAAAAAAAAAAATTTAAAATCGTGTTCCACTTTCTCTATGTCCCCAAAACAGGATAAACATGATTTAAACCTATCGTGTGTTGTTAAGTTATATAACATCGGAAGATTCATTTCACGGTTAAATTTAATCATGTATCGCATGTTTAAAAAATTATTTATTTTTTTAAAACTATTCTCACTTCCTATTTTCTAACATGTATCGATCCAATGAGGATTAAATGCTTGCGTGCAAACGTATCACGATCGACATGCAATTTTTTCGATCGTACGATTATCCGAGCGTGCTAATGGAGCCGTTTATCGACTTTAAGGACGAGTTTTCGAAATCTTGATCAAAAAAGATTTGCGCGACACTATTAAATAAACGATTATGTTTTGTAAATTGAAAGTGTACTAGGAATTATGATACCATCGAACGGTTTTTTTTTCCTCCTTTCAATCGCCAAGAACGCCATGAAATTTTTCGTAATGAACTGATTGCAACTGTTTCTCATTCTCCTTTTTTCTTTTTTTTTCTCGTTACATGTGAGATTGATTGTAGCAAATTAAGTGAAAATAATTATAAAGTAATTATATTATAATATAATTATATATATATATAATTTATAATATTAATTTTATTAATCGAATTATGGTTTGCTCAGCGATAACGATAATTATGTAATGAATTAATGAGATATATTATTGTATTTTGATTATGTTTGATAAAAATAATTTATCAGTTTATTTTCTATAATATCGTAAAATATAAATTACGAAATTTGTAAGTTATTCATTACGATTTGTCGTGAATTTCATTTAAAAATTGTTTCATTTCAAGAAAATATTTCATGATTTGATAATGGTTTTTTTTTTATTAAAATTCCTGCCAGTGAAAAATAAATAAATTATCTTTAAAATGGATAATAAAAATTTACATATTATACAAATTTATATATTTACATATTCAATATATTCAAATCGAATATTTTTATTCGAAGTTCAAATATGCAATATCTAAATATATATAGGAAGAAAGGATATTTGATCTAAAAATTTAAATGGTGATTTTTCAAGTCAAAATAAGACAAAAATTACTTGCAATAATTCTTTCCATTATCCATTAGTGTCGGTAATCCTTAAAGTGCGATCTTCTTTTCCAACATTTTAATGCGGTAAATTATGAATTTAATATTATACACTTTATTACTCATTTATCTCATAATATTAAATTTATTGATTTCAAACATTTTATAATTTTAAAAAACATTCAAAATAAAAGCTTGTTTACAATTTGATAATCATGATCTTTCCCAGAGTAGTTCTACAACTATCATTTTTTTCCATTAGTTTAGCAGTTGGGATACCTTTCTATTACGAGAGCACGCCATTGATTTTCGCAAGAATGATAATTGAAACGATATTAACAAACTTTTAATATAGAATTTTATTAAGCAACTGTTTTCAGTTAAATTATATAATTTAATTTCCATTTGTTTCTAGTTGGTTTAGTTTAAATTGCAAAAACTTGGAAAATTTGAAAATTTAGAAAAGCGAAAAAAATTAAAAATATTAAATAATAAATATATAAGATTATCTTTTAAACAATATTTCATGTTTTATCGCAATTAAATCTTACAATAAAAAAATACAGACTAGAATTATGTGTCAGCTTGTAATTAATACGAAGGAGTGAAAAGAGTATTAAATATGTAACAATGTATCGACCAAACTTTCACCGACCAGGAATCAAATTTGATACTGGATTAAAGAAAATTATCATTAAAAAAAAAAAAAGCGAACAGAAATTTAATATAATTTAAATTCTATATTGAATGTCGATTTTTATTGAAATAATTCTCGCGAATTGAGTTGGCAAAAATGTTAAGGTGTACAAAAATATAATTTAATCAATTTTCTTAAACTTGAAATATCGATGAAAATTTAATTTAACCTAAATTTAATGGTAAATATATTGATTTTCATTAAAAGCAATAATTGTCTTAATATAATCGATATTTAAAGTTTTTCAACAAAAACTTAATCATATTAAATTGAATATTGATTCTATTGAAAGAAATAATTATTTTAAATATTGGAAAGAATTAAGATGAGCAAAACGAATTGATAAATCCATTTTTAATATAAATATGAAACAAAAAGAAATTTTCTTATTCTTGATTTCCTGTTTATTTTAAGATAATTATGTCTAATTCGAAATTTGGTATAGATCACTCAAAATAAATTTGAAAATTTTTCCATTAATATATACATATATCATATTCTTCAAAATCATAATTCCAATTGCAAAAATTCCAAAATTAGATGCTTGATTTTTTCCATTGTTATCGTTTATTCATTTCAATTAAATTTAACTTTTTAAATCAATCTCTCGACTTATCACGCCAATTTAATTAGAAAAAAATCTTAAGATCTAAGTATAAAAATACACGATCTTTTTAAATATTTATTATTTTTCTCGAAGAATCACCCTTTCAATTTTGCGACACATCGAATCGAACGAACACTTCTTTTGTATATTTATACAAAAAAAAAGGTCACTTTCGAAATATCACCGATGTAAATAAGGAAAGCGTGACACGAGCGAATAAATAACCAAAGGAAAACCGTAGAAAAAAAACTTGGTCGACAAGCATCGACAATGGCATGCACGAACGTTCACGTGCATGGCGGATACGTATTCGCTCATTTAAGGCGTTACATGTTGCGGTATCTACATCATGAATGGTTTTACGCAAGCTTGCATAAGAATATCGTGTGGCTGAGCCCTCGTATTGACGAATAATAATCTGAAACGAAATTCGTTTGCAACGAAGGTGTATCGATGCATTAAATTTTCATTTTGCTCTTCGTGGTGACTGTATATTATTATATACTTGGAAATCGTATCGATGAATTATGGATTTTAAGAAATGAGAAAATTCAAGTATAACAAGTTGATTGAAAATTAATTTAAAATGAAAAAAAAAAAGAAGTAGAAATAAAAATAGACATTTTTAACCACACCTTTTTACATATAAATGTCATACATTAATTAACTTGTGAAGAATTAAAATAAAATAAAAAATTTAAAATATGAAAATGCTCTCGATGCAAAAACATTTTATTTGATAGATATGAAGTGAAGGTAAACTTAATTCGTGGAGAAAAATGAAAAAAAAAAAAAATATTTTTTTAAGATTGTTTGAAGTTAAAATATTTAGGATGTTAATATGTTTATTTTTGGAGATTTGATAATTCTAGAAAAATTGGCATAAATATCGATTATTTATTAAGTTGTAAATAATTTAAGTTTAGTATTAGTTTGTGTAATGTGACGCAGGTGGAGTGACACAGCTCTATATCTGTCTCACTTCATCTAACGCAAAATTATATTGCTCGAAAATTTATAAATAAGTTTCAATATTATATTTTTCATATTTACAATCAATCCTTGAAACGTGTTTCAGAAATAATATTAATAATCATGTTATAATATTAAAAATTTAAGAAAAACAATTTCACAAAATAATTTTACAAAATAATCGAAATAATCGATGTTATAATTCTGAGAGAAAAAGATGAATGGCTCTGCATAATGACTTATCATTATCACTAGTTAACCTTAATTTATCGATACTTTACATATATACTTTTATCTATAAATTATTATTATAGTCAAACGTGTTCTACTAGTTCTTGTTCCTAATAAATAAGTAATAAAATTTTTCTTTTAATATTGAAACATTTTAAATTGTTCATTGAAAATTACAAAATTTTAATTCATTAATAAAATTTGATCAACTAATTGAAATTTTATAAATTTTTCAGTTTCATTAATTATAATTATAATTTAAATTGGAATAAGGTGTAGTAAGCTACGAAGTGTAATATATCACATATCAAGTGTCAAATTATCCCCTTTGCTAATCGTACGTCCTGTTTCACATTTATCGACAAAGAAAGATAAAATAGTAACGTTGTTCCGTTTTTCCGTGGGAATTCTCGTTTATTCTAAAGAGCGTTTATTCCCATGATATTTCAGCTCGAAGAGGTTACGCAATCCCAAAATGCTTTATTCTTTGTGGCAACGACGTGAAATATTCTTGTACAATTTTTACGTTGGTGTATATGATAATTTTCTTTACATCTAACCAAAAATTACCAAAAATCAAGAAGAAAAGTGAGAATAGTAATATAAATTATCACTGCACAAATGTTAGGTTATGATATTGTTTTAATCCTATTTTTTAAGTATAATTATAGTAATCGATGAATTATTGTAGAATATATATTATATGTGAGTTTTAATCATTTTTCTCAGTTCACTTGAATTTAATCATCCTAATCAAAGTAATTTCTTCCCTTTTCGTATATGTATTTTTGTATATTTGTAAGATTGATAAGAAGTTCTTCTTTACATTCGTAAAGAAAATGAGAAAAGAAATAAAATAGAAAGAAAAATACAATGAATGCAAATATATATTATAATATATATTATATAATATAAATAATATATTATAAATATTATATATATTAAATAAAAATAAGATTATCGATAAACATTAATTATTAATAGTAAAAAAAATTTTAAAATGAAATCAAATTTATTAATATTACTATTATTTTGAATATATAACATTGTTGCACATAATATAATGCATAATATAATATATATATAATGTATAATGTTATATAGTGCACATATAATAAATTGAATATTTATAATTAAATCACTCTTTTTAACATTTACACAAATTTCTCTAATATATTTAGAATCATGTTAAAATAATTTACGATGAACACGCAAAAGAAAAAAGATAATGATATAACATATTAACATAAAGAAAACGTTTATATAACGAAAAAAAATATATATATATATATATATTCGAATCGCGTGTGTACTTTACCGACAGATCTTATCCTTTGAACGAAGATTTATACTCTGACAATAAATGAACTTAAAGATGTAATACGATCTATTCCAATCAGTCTGAATTCATCGCACATGATTTGTCCTTAAAGTACACGCGAAAGTACGATTAAAGAGCAAACGAAACAATACACGTATAGATAAAAATCGAATAATACTCGGTATAAATCTCGAATATATATACAGGGTGCCGCAAAAATTATGGAACATTCATAAACTGGAGATTCTCGAGGTAATTCCGAGCAACATTTTCCTTTACAAAAATTGTAGCGTTATATTTTCGTTAACGAGTTATAAAACACTGACCAATCACGAACGCATCCTAATCGAATAGCATTGGCTACATACCGACCGAGCACAAACAAATCCAAACAAGACATCTCAAAGAAAGCATGTCAAATATTGTATTTATTTAGTTTTCCATCATTCGTGATATTATTCGATATAATTTTTTATAAATGAAAAAAATATTTGTTATATTCGTGTTATGTTATATTCACAGAAAAATATTTGGAAAATTATATTTATTTATTTATTGTACATAATTTTTTATCGATAAAAAAATATTCGTTATATTCACACTTTGAACTTGCTCGGTCGGTAGCCAACGCTACTATTACGCGACTCAATTAGGTTATGCGTTCCGTAATTGATGTTATTTCGTACAATAATTCGCTAATATAGCCGTAACGAAAGTTTTTGCAAAGAAAAATGTTTGAAATTATTTCGGGAATCTCCAATTTAATGTTCCAACATTCTTGGGACACCCTGTACATATATTTACAATCAATACGTGAAGAAAATCGCAATTGATCGAACTTGGTGGTAAATGTTAGGTGGAAGGCCTTGGTATGTAACTCGAAAGTGCCCGGAACTAAACCGCGCCTATTTCTATCAATATACTATTTACAACAATTTTTGTTGATATATATAATAATTTTAATTATAAAATATCATTTTAAAAAGTGAGAATTGAATAATTATTAATATTTTTACACAGGATTATTTAAAATGAAAATAAGATAAAATAATTAATAAATGATACTTTCAACAATAACTAAGCTTTATTTAATAATATTGCAATTTTGAAACTAAAATTTTTATTCGAAATAAGAATTACTCTTCGAGTAAATTCTAAAATCTAAAATCTTAGAAGACAAAAATTACTAAAATTATTATCGAATGAAATAACTGATATTAAATTATAATTAAATAATAGATATTATATTAAAATAATATTTATTTCTATACTTTATTATTCTCTAAAAAAAGTTGTTATTTTCTTTTTCTATATTATTTGTCAAATGAAAACAATGAAGTACTTGAGATAATATTTTTCATTCCAAGTTATTAATTGATATCTTATACAATGATAATAAATCAAGTATCAACAAATGAATGGAAACAGTAACACGTAGTATAAAACTCTCCTAATTGTTGTCTCCGTTATATAGTCGTTTAACTGCATTCCAAATGGAAGTCTTACGCGACCACGGATCCTGAATGTCAAGCCTTTACGTATAGCATTGTTTATAAATCACTTTCTCCGGTACAGTGGTCGAGCACACACTTATCTAAATCTAAAATAATTCTCTAAACTCCAAATATTACCTTCGTCTACATAACGTATAATTTGCAATATAATATTTTTTCAGGTAGATTTTTTAGGGAATTAAAAAAAAAATTTCAAAGAATAAAAATTTTTGGAAAATTTTTAATGTATAAAAAAAGTATATCTATATATAAAAATATGGATGGAATATTGATATGTGCAATTTTGTAATAAGTGAATTTGGAAATAGATTGAATGCATACACATTTTGTATTTGCAAATTAAAATTTATAATAATGAACAAATGAAAAGTCAGAAAATTATATGAATTATATGAATATTGACAGTTGTGTTGGAGAAAAGTAATTATTTTTATAATATTATAATTTGATGTCATTCGAAGATAGTTAAATTTGAAGAATTCAAAGATTAAAATAAAAATTTATCGAAAATTAAAATTCCATAGATAGAATCTATTACATCAAAACTTTCGATTAATTCCA